ATTTCAGACACTTTCACAGGTCTTCAAATACTCTACCACAAAATTCCTGGACAGGTGGACAGGACCACAGCGCGTGGATGTAATTGTCAGGAATGTTGTTTGTGCAGTGTGTACAGGTGTCAGATGACACAAACCCCATCTTGAACATCCGATGACCTGTATAGTGTACTCTGTGTAAAATTTTGTACTGAATTAATTGTAAATTGGGGTGTCTGATCATTTTTAAAGTTTTTAAACAAGTTTGGGACCAGAAGTTCTGGTGAAAGCTGACTGATAGATCCACCTCCCATTTTTCAATAGGGATTGTTGTTCTATCATCTATTTTGGACAGTTAGACAGTAGTTTTTTTTTTGGGGGGGGGGGGGGTGAGATTATAGAAGTCTAATACCCTTGGTGGTGTTTGTAATTCAATTTTATTGAGCTTAAATTTTTGTTTGACTACAGATTTAATTTGGTGATATTCTAAAAAGCTATTCTTATCCATTCCAAATTGGGAGACTTTTCTATTAAATGGGATGAAGTCCAATCCTTCATATATGTGTTCCAGGTATAGGATTCCTTTACTTTTCTAGTCCGGAAGGTTCATCATTTTGTTATTTTGCAAAATATCAGGATTATTCCAGATAGGTGTGTGTCTGCATGGTATTAGTGAAGACTGTCATTTTAAGATACTCCCACCATGCTGTCAGACAGGTCCTGATACTAATACTTTTGAAGCCTTCATGTTTTCTTATGCTTGATCTAATAAATGGTAAGTCTGAAAGCTCTATCGTATTGCAAAGTGTCTGTTCTATGTCTAACCAGGACTCATCTAGTGGGTTATCTTGCAACCATCTTGGTATATATTGCAGCCTGTTGGCTAAGAAATACTAATAAAAGTTGGGTAGATCCAGTCCTCCTGTCTTTGGTCTTCTGAAGCATTTTTAAGCTAATTCGTGGAGGTTTGTCCTGCCAAAGGAATTTTGTGATTGATGAGTCCAGAGATCTAAACCGGTCAGCTGGTGGTTTGTTTGGGATCATTGAAAATAAGTAATTTATTCTGGGTAAGACCATCATTTTAATCGTAGCAACCCTCCCCATGAGTGATATTGGTAAGTGATATTCCATCTTGCAAGATCATCTTCCACTTTCTTTAAAAGTGGGATGTAGTTTAGTTTGGTTAGATCTGCCAAACTAGGAGAGACATTAATTCCCAGGTATGTGATATTCCCTGACTAACTGTTTATTAAGCAAATTGACAAAAGAGAAATTAATTGGTAGAACTGTGGATTTTAACCAGTTTATAGAGTAATCTGAAACTCTTGAAAAAGAGTTTATCAGTTCTATTGCTTGGGAGAGAGAGGATTGAGAATTTCAGAGAAAGAGTAAAACATCAGCTGCATAAAGACTGATCTCATGTTCTATTTTCTTACATTTAATGCATTTTGCCTAATTGCTGCTGCTAGTGTTTGATAAAGATAGCAAACAGTGAGGGGGAGAGTGGGCATCCCTGCCTGGTCCCCCTCTGAAGACAGAAGCTAGCTGATATTTGGTCGTTTGTCCTGACACGTGCTGTTGGTGAACTGTATAATGTTTGTAACCAGTTTATGAAGAAGTTCCCAAACCCAAATTTATGTAAAGTTGCAAATAAGAACTTCCAGTTAACTCTATCAAAAGCCTTTTCTGCATCTAGAGATAATATACTAGTTTCTACTGTAAGAAAAATCTATCAAATTAAGTAATCTACGTGAGTTTGTGGATGACTGTCTACCCTTGATGAAACCAGTTTGGTCAGGGTGTATTATGAAAAGGGTTACCTTCTCTAATCTTTTTGCCAGGGCTTCACAAATTATTTTGAGATCAACATTAATAAGAGAAATTGGGCGATAGCAGAGGAAGCACCACCACATGCTTAAAAGGGGACGGTACTACACTTTCCTGTAGGCTACTGTTAATAATAGCCAGAGTAGAGGGGGCCAGTGTAGAAGAAGCCTCTTTGAAGAGCCTAGCCGGCAAGGCAAGGAATCAATTCCCGATACCTAGGAATTGATACCCGTACTTAACGGTACCAACTTTCGATACTTTTGAGTGCTTAATAATTAATAAAAACTTTTTAAATTAAATATATATTTTTTCTTAATATGTAACCATATTTGATAAATATGATGAATAACATACAACTGTTTGTATTTTTTCATCGTTGTGTAGTACAAAATTCTTCAATATCAGAACCACAACTGTTTCTATATGATACAAAGAAAACCGGAAAAGGGTGGCTTGCCAACTCCGGGTCGGGGGAGAGGTCCTACCTCAAGTGGAGGAGTTTAAGTATCTCAGGGTCTTGTTCACGAGTGAGGGTAGGAGGGATCGGGAGATCGACAGGCGGATTGGTTCAGCGTCTGCAGTGATGCAGACACTGAGCCGATTTGTCGTGGTGAAGAGGGAGCTGAGCCAGAAAGCCAGGCTCTCGATTTACCGGTCGATCTACGTCCCAATCCTCACCTATGGTCATGAGCTTTGGGTAATGACCGAAAGAACGAGATCGCGGATACAAGCGGCCGAAATGAGTTTCCTCCGTAGGGTGGCCGGGCTCAGCCTTAGAGATAGGGTGAGGAGCTCTGACATTCGGGAGGGACTCGGAGTAGAACTGCTGCTCCTCCGCATCGAAAGAAGCCAGTCGAGGCGGTTTGGGCATCTGGTCAGGATGCCTCCTGGACGCCTCCCCAGGGAGGTGTTTCGGGCCGGGTCGACCCAGGACACGTTGGAGAGGTTACGTCTCCAATCTGGTCCGGGAACGTCTTGGGGTCCTGCCGGAGGAGCTGGTGAAGAAGACCGGGGAGAGGACGGTCTGGAGCTCCCTAGTTGGGATGCTGCCGCCGCAAACCGGACCCGGATAAGCGGAGGAAGACGACGACGACGACAACAACAAAAATTAAAACCCAGCTTCATGCCCTATAACTATGATAAGGACACCATGTATTATAAAGCACTTTTTTTTACCATGCTGCTTTGTTTACAACTTGCCCACAGCAACTGATGACATGCTCTTGCGCATGCGCTGCTGTCCATCTTGGCAAGTCGCTGTCTCGCAAGTTATAGTTAATGAAGGACAGGCACCAAACTCAATGGTACCGAAACAAGGCACTATTTCATACCACATGAATCAGTCCTCGCTCTGTGCCTTAAAAAGTACCAAATTCGGTACCCATCCCTACTTGAGTTTTTTTGTTATTTGTAAGTCTGTGACTAATTCTTTCTTTTGACCCTTCTCTGATCAGTGATTATCACCAACTTGAAAATGGTTTGTGAAAACTCTTACATGAAAAAGATCCCTCAACGTCTCTGCATATAAAACCCAACCGCCATGGTCAGCTCTCTTCCAGTACCTGTGGCTGCAGTAAACTCTCAGACTCAAGCGATGGCGCACCCAAGGGGTGGCCAGGGATGACCATGGTCACCCCTAAAAATTGCTGGCCCCACCAGGAAAAGCCAGTGTTAATAAATAATATTAATGCTCACTCAAACGATAAATTAATTGTATTTATTCAAGACATAATTGTAAACCACAATAAAAAAATTATACAATTAACGAATGAAGAAATAATCAGAATAAAAAAACACATGTTTCTGCTTCTCACCATTTAAAAAAAGTTTTTATTTCCAGTTTTCTGTGAACACAGCAACAGGTAAATTAAACTGAGAAAAAAATAATTAAAAATAAAGTTTGTAATAACATTTTAAATAACTGAAATGTATTTCTCCAAAATGTTTGTGTTTGTAAAATTTGAGTTAAGTGTTTTGGATACATACTGTTTTCTATTTTTATTATTAAAAATTAATAAAGGAGCAACGCAGTGCACACAGGCTGAACTATCCCAGTTACCACAAGGAAAAATTTGGTGTGCCACCCCAAAAATTTATTTGGACCCCGTCTGGCCATCCTTATCACAATTTTCTGGAGGTGCCCCTGAAGTCGTTACATGAGAAGAATTGTAAGTTGGATGCTCTGAGCAGTAATCTGGCTGCAGTTTCAGAACTCATACATGGAATGTGAAACAGCTTGGAGAACATTCTCAGCCTGGTGAAAACTGACACCTCGATTTGGCTGTTTAGTGGCCTTGAGACCGCAGAAGGCAGAGAGAAAAATTTATTCATTAATTAATTAACAATTTCTGTTATGCAAATTTGGCTCCCCGATGTTGGCCTTGAAGGCTGAATAAGTTCAAACTCCCCTGGAGAAGATACAGATGGATGCTCTGCCCCTCTCTCCCCCATTCCTCACAAGGATCCATAAACTCCTTGGATCAACTCGCAAGGGACTCGGATCTTAACATCCTAGACAAGAGACACTGCGACTGATCTGGGAGAAAGATCAAGGACTCACTACTGACGCAACACGCATGCACAAACAAAACTTTTACAGAAACAAATTCACTATCCCTCGGGTTCAACGTTCTCCTCCTGCCCTGACTCTCCTTCCCACACCTGGGCTGCGAAGGTTGAAGGGCGTACTGGATAGTTACAAACTCTCTCGCTTGTACGGAGGATCCTCGCCTCTCCCATAACGTTATTTATGTAACATTTGAAATGTCTTGTGCCAAAATACTATTGACCTTGAATTAAAATATTGGTGGATAGTTATTTTTAAGTGTTTGTCAAAGACCCAGTTTTAAGCACTGAATGTGGAACAAACAACCTGTAACACTTTATAAATAAAACACGTTGCTTAATGATAGTTTTTTTTATTGTAATCCAGTTGCACAGTCACACATTTCCAAATAAAACAATCAGTGGCTTCTAATTTAAATAACACGAAATTATACACAAAGATACACACATGTCACATCATTGCACACCACCCTGCTGGATCTGTGGCTCAGGTTCAAGTCTCAAAGTGTGGCACCAAACATTTTTTCTGTTCACATTAATAAAACAAGCCATTTAAAAAAACACCTCAGTGTGGCTTGTGCCAGTCAAAAAAATTATCCAGCTTAGACTTAAGACAAGATGGTCTCCACTATTCAGTAGTATGGAGGGTAAGATGGGTACGGCCCCCTGAGGTGAGATGAGGGCAGCATGACTCCTTGGAGGTTGTACTGATAGAAGGAGTCCAGGGGGAGGGAGGGGGAGCTGGGGAAAGAGGAACTGTACTGAAGGCTGTGGGCATAGGCGGAAGGAGGTGTTGCCTCGGGTCCCACAGCTGCCCCTGCTGAGTGGTACCTGGGGTAGGGTGTGGACCTGTAGCCCTGCAGCTCAGGGTAGTGTATCAGCTGAGAGGTAATGTTGGCCTGGCACGCATGAGCCAGAGCGTCATGCACCGTCCTCTTCAGCTTCATCCGCCTGTTCTGGAACCAGTTCCTGATCTGACAGGAAGAAAAATCAAAATAAATATTAATAAATGAAAGTAATAAATTAGATTTTGTTTTAAGGATGATTTAATTTCCAAGTGTTACCTGTTTGTCAGACAGGTTAAGCCTCTTGCAGAGCTCCACCTTGTCCTGTGTTCCCAGGTAAGCGTTTTTCTTGAACGCCCTCTCCAGGCTGTTGAGCTGCTCTGCTGTGAAGGCAGTCCGAGGCCTCCTGCCCACCGGAGGTGAAGAAGGAGACGTGGAGGTGCAGGTGGCGTGGGTGGATGAAGACAGAGACGGACAGCCTTCGCTCTCGTATCCGGACGTCTCCTCCTCGGTCCCACTGCTGAAACCAGCCTCAACCGCTGGAAACAGAAGAGGGAGACCACTGTGTTTACAAAGTTTATGGAATTAAAAGTCACTTTAATAGGGCATCTGTGGTTACAATGTAGCTCATCATCACCAGCGTGTGAATGTGTGGATGGCTGACTGTGTTGTAAAGTGCCTTGGGGGGTTGAAGAACCCTAAGACAGCGCTATACAAATACAGACCCTTTACCATTTAATTAAACAAAACACATTATGGGCTACTCTAGGACACGTTTTGGATTTTGAAGTTTTTTAAAACCAGATTATCACCAAAATAATCTGATGGCAGTCATGAGTGATCAAAGAATCAGGGAGAAATAGTCATGAAGGAATCAAGCCAAGCTTCTAAACCTGAAAAAAATATATCAGCAAAGCAAGTATAGGTTTCAGTCATTAGATACATTATAGACCAGCTGTAAAACAGTAAGAAGCAACCCAGCCTCCATTATGAAATTAAAATGACATTCACAAACATATCTCTTTAAATTCTCCTCAGATTTAGGCAGAAAGAGAAATAAAAAATATGTGAATCTAACAAAACACGTTGTAAACATGTGATGAGGGGACTTTAAAAAGTATTTCACAGGCCTGAACTTTAATTTTCAGCCATTAATATTTCTAACTCATTTCTGAGGTGAAATGTTAAATTGCAGAACAAAATGTGCCATAAACATCTAATAAATGCTAAACTTCATTGCTATTCACCTCAAAATGGTGTGTTATTAATGAATTCAGCAAAAGTTGGTATAATTCATGAAACTGAAGATTTGTGTTTCTTATGTAAAGTAAGACTTTAAGTGTTTATTATTAATCTTACGTCACCAAAATAAAAGATTTACTTAAAACACAAACTGAATTGATTAAAAATAATAATTTGATGTAAAAAGCATTTGTTGACCTTTTTGAATGAACATATTCCACTACAGGCATTTAAAGTATTTGTGTTTATTACAAAAAAATTTTTTTTATCATTTGGATATAAAAGGGAATAAAAACCTAAATAGTTCCAAAGAAAGCTCACATTTCTGAATCTTTCATTAAACATAGAAATTCAATCAAATCTCTTGTTTGCTTGTGGTGAAGTGGTCTGCAATACAACTTTTGTTCTGCTTGAGTGATTAGGCCAAACACTCTGAACTGAGTCTTTTTGGGCTTTAACAGAAGACTGAAACTCTTACCTTGATTTTTGGGAGCAGTTTGGTTCTGCATTGCTCTCTGGTTGGATGCAGTGAGGTGCTGATGTTCAGGTAAACTTTCAGACTTGTGGTAAAACCCAGGCAGACTGTCTGAGTGTGTCCCCCAGCCTGCAGGCTCAGAGGCTGGGCTGATGGAGGTCTCTGGTCCTGCTGGGCGGCTGCTCTGGGCCATCCACTCGATAGAGAAATGTCCCCTCATGGCTGCTGAACACGGAAGTTTGGCCCCAAAATAAGATGAGTTAATAATCATTAGTTTTACTGTGAAGCGGAGGGTTCTTCTCGGGTGTCTTTTGCTCAGGTTCAGTGTTCAGAGTGATCTGAGTGCTTGTGAAACCTGACTGTATTTATAGCAGACGTCTTGGCTCATTTCAACCTGAAGATCAAAGCACACATCCTCCCCTCCCTGCTTCCCCCTCCTTCAGCTTTCACAACTGGAGTAATTAAGATGTCCCATTCAGTCTCAATGAGGCTGTTACAACCAGGCTCCAGTGAGTCTGGAAGGGACCTCGCCTCACTTAACCTCACCCCCTACCTCCCTCCTTCCTGCCTTCAACACAGATAATAGACTCACCTCAGTCCCCAAACCGTCTGCATCTCTCCCGTGATCACATCCACACTGTATAATCGTGTAGTAGTGGTTTGCAGAAGTGGAAAGGGAAACATTTCCAGTCAGATTAGAGAAAAAAAGTCTAAAAATTACCCAAACTGAAAGAATCTTAATTCCTGGGAGGAAAATATGAAAAAATTAGAAATACATGAAACATAAACTGGATCACTTTTGATTGTTGATAGGTAGTCAGCTTAATAAGTATAAAAAACACTGAATTAAAATAACTGTAGAAATGTAAAAAGTAAAAAGAAAAACTGTGTATTTTATTAATAAAAAAATGCTGTGACAAGAAGGAAAAAAGGGAACTTGAAGTGAAAAGACAAACCACAGCTGTGCAGTTTTTGCTTGTGTTTTTACTAAATTATGTTTTACAGGATGTAATAAATGAAATATGATGTAGATGTTCTGGTTGTAATCCACATTTTTCACCGTTACAGTTTAATCTGTAAGAAAGTGATCATTGTTTCAGCCTTTAATCATCTGATGCTCCTCAAATGTTCAACAAAAGAGCCTCTACACCACTCATCAGGTCCAGTAAAGCAGGATCAGCTTCTTCAACAAGACATTTCCTGCATTTTCAGGTAAAAAGAGGCTTTCGGGTTAATAAGCAAGACAATGAGCACGGAGTGGCTTAACATACAGACAAGAGCTAATCCAGGGATGATCCAGAGATTAAATGACAGTGGTGTGACGGTTTACATAACAGAGAAATACGCACGCACACACACACAGACACACACTGACAGCCTCACGCACACACACACACACACACACACACACACACACACACACACACACACACACACACACACACACACACACACACACACACACACACACACACACACACACACACACTAAGAGCATTCTGGTTGTGTGATTGCGTTTTATTTTTGAACAAATTCAACATTTCATTTTTTATCACATCAGTTTGGAGACATCAAGGATTTGCTTTTGCAGAACTGAAATAAAACCGAGATATTAAGCATAAACTTTACATTTCTTATGAAAATTCATGTTGACAGCTGAATGAGTGTAAAACTGATTTTCCCCATGTTAGAAAAACATAATAATAATAATAATAGTAAATAATAACAATAATAATAATAACAACAACAATAATAATAATAATAATAATAATAATGAAGTGTTTCATGCTACACAACTACTGAAAAATAAGTTGTGTCAAAATAAAAGTATTGATTGCAGGACCTAATCATTATTACTCCATATTAAAGTTTGTTTTTCAATAAGAGGTGTACTTTTTGAAATAATTAATTAAATAATTAAATTCAAATAATGAAGATTATCTGAAAATATTTTTAAATAATTGAACACATTTTGTCAAATTGGTTTCTTTTTATCTATAATTTTGCTTTGTTTTTGTTTGTTTTTAAGGAATTTAAAACCTCATGAGCCCTAGGCCTTTTTTTTTTTGTAGAAGTCTGCTGGAAAATGGCATGCCCACACTTTAACGAGCATGTTTCTGTAACCACAAGGTCTATTTGATTCATTTTTGTCTCATTTAAAAGGAAAACCTTGTGGGATCTGTTGAAATGTGTATTGATTAGTATATAGTCATTTTTACGAAACAATGCCATCAATTTGCTGCAGCGCTCCAGTTTTCAATGTCAGCTGATTAGGTTTAAAAAACAAAACTTGCGGCCCGTTTTTTACTTTCATTTTCAATGAAGTTGCTGGCCGGAGCTCGGCAGTAACTCCCCATGTCATCATGACACTTCCCTCTTTTGCGTCAAGGCAGTTACCACAATATTACTACCAAGCGAGGTGGAAGGAATGCCGCAAAATTCGTGGAAGGCCATGCCGGCATGTTGCATTTATAAGACACACTGTTCCGGTAATATTACATCAATTTGCTAGCACGGTCTTGTAAAAACGGCTTTAGTGTCACTGATTAAGTGTACATGGACATGGAACATTGGTAAAAAAGTAGATTTTTTTTCTTTGGAGCAGTAGCTTCAAGCTTCAATAAATTCACAGCCCTATATCTTGACAGCAGGGCCTTGACACCAACTGTTTTTCTATGAATATCTTTAGGATGTGTGTTTGTTTTGGTCTTAGTGCTTCAGTATCGTGACTTGTCTTTTTCTTCTGGAGCCAGTTAATCCTATAATGTTACAGTTGTTTTTTTTTTTGTCAGTCAGTGTGAGAAGCTAAAAAGCAGGATCAGGTTATTTGAGCAGTGTCCCTGTGGTTTTAGCGGCCCTCACCTCCAATCATCTTTATCCAAATTTCTTTAAAAATCCTGACAAAAACTGGGACTTTCAAAGGTGAAATATGGTGGAGAAGAAAGTAGCTTTTGGAGCCGACATTAATCAGGAATCACAAGACGACAGATAGAAACAGCAGCCTGCTGATTGTAACAGTTTAAAGTTCAAACAACTGCTGCCCGTCTGTCCGTCTGTTCATTGATGAAGATGCGTGATGAGGCAGATGGAAGGTCATCCTCTTTGAACATCTTAGGTGTGTTCTTGCTGTGTCTTTCTAAATCCATGCTTTCGTTCTTTATAAACACAGAAACAGTTTTGTTTACCTGTTTTGTAGCTACAGTTTCGCCGACGGAGATAAACGGAGAAGGAAGTGACGCGCCACCATCAGCGTCAGCCTGAAGAAGCCGGCAGCCGTCGGCGAAACTGTAGCAACAAAACAGGTAAACAAAACTGTTTCTGTGTTTAAAAAGAACGAAAGCATGGAAGGTCATCCTGCTTGTCCCCTTCACCTCCGTTCTGATGTGCTACACGCAGCACCAATGCAATGTCATGTGACTTTTGCTGAGGACGCAGGAACACAAATCAGACCCATTTGGTATTTTTAAACTGGTGAGGTTCAGAGAGAAAACCAGACAAATGCGTGATTGAAAAACTTAAACATTGGCCTCTAAAGCACATTCTTTTCCTGATTTATACGTGGAAAACTTATACATGTTTTTACAGCATAGTCTAATTTAAGCATGTCCAAAATTAGGCACAGGGTCTGTTTGCAGCCTTTGGTGAGATTTTGTGTGGCCTGCGTTTTTCTAGGATGTTGAATCTTGTCTTTACGGTAAGCTGTTGAAGCCAGACTTTCTAACATTTTTGTGATCAGATTATTCTTAATATTTGCCACTATGAACATATTTTGATGAACAAAAATTAAAAAGGTATCATAACAATGAAAAAAGAGATAAAAAATGTTTAAAACAGCATAAATCTACTATGTGACAGGATCTTTGGACCTAGCGGTTAGCTCATCAATCCGTTCAAAACTAATTCTGTCCAGCCTGAAGGTCATTCTACAAAATCAGCTATCTACACAAACTGAAATAGTAGTTGTTCATAATCCTTTCACAGAAACCCACTTTTAAAAATCTGACCCACAGCTCTAAGAATACCCACCTCTAAATGTGCTCTGTTCATATAATGTCTGACAAGTGAGAAACACTGAAAAATAACTGAGTACTGAACCAGAACCAGTTTGGAAAAACTCACTGAACTTTAGGCTGAATGTGATTTTAAGCCAGCTTAAAGAACCTCAACATGTCACACTGAGCCGGTTTTGAAATCCCCATAGCAACTCATGCCCGCTGATGTAGGCTGGATGACTCCTTGTGGCAGAATTGCATCACAGAAGGAGGAGGATGAAGGGAAAAGGTGACAGCTGCAGCTGTACTAATGAAGAGTCAGACCCAGAGCCATCTGATCTTGTTTGAAGATGATCCCAGATTGTATGGTGATGGAGCCTTAAATCATCTGTCGGTGATCCTGTCACTCTGAGCCGCCCCCAATCCAAACTCAGGAACTTTTTTCTTTTTTATTTGTGGAACTTTTTATTCCACAGCATGAACCCAGCTTTAGACTATCTCTAATTTAAGTGAAGTGATCCCATAAAGTGGAGTTTAATTTGTGTCACACTCTTTCTGTCTGCTTTGTCACATGTTGACTTGTCTCGTCCTCAGACGCTGTACGTGGAGTCTATTAGTCGTCCATACCTGGCTCAAAGATGTCTGAACAGAAACAGATTGTATGAGTCGTGTTTGTGTGTTAACGCTGCTTATCCGTGGCGATGGGGGTCATCGATCCTTGTCGGCCCCAGTCCTAGGTCTGGGATGTCTGTGGGGTGACAGTCTTGCTGGGCTTCTCTTTGATTGGCTCCATTCAGACCCTTTCATCTCTAATGGGCCTGTTTGCTGCTCTGTTATGGATGCAAATACCCTGACCTCCCAGCCCCCCTCCCCTTCCTAAGGGGACACATGTCCCAGTGGAGTGCGATGTGGAGCTCAGATCCTTCCTCAAAGTGTGTATGAAAAGATTTACTGGATATAATGTCTGCAGCAAACCTCAAAATGATCACAAATGGTTTCATTTATCAGAGGTGGTTGGATAGGTGGGGGGGTGAGGGGCTACTGCACCCTTGCAGTTATAGTCTTGACCCCTCCAGCTGCCCTTTTGCTTTCATGTCCTCCGAAAATGTTCTATATTTGCTTCTGTCATGTTTCATAGTAACTAAAATAGAACAAAAAGATTTGATTGGGAATCATTTCTGTTGCAGTGTGACCTACAGCTCGGGTTCGAGCTGGTATCAGCAGCAGC